GCTTTTGAAATTTGAAATCCCAGAAGCTGCAAAAGCGGCAGAATAAATACTACTTCCCCCAAGTCTTCAAAGCCAGTTTTTTGTTTCCACCTGYTCTGTTAGAGTTGACCTTTTATCAACCTCTTGCTTGTAGGATATATGGCTTTACCACTCCCTAGTCTGCTGACATTTAAGCACTCACAACAACTTGCTCCTGACACAGCTCACAAACAGCACAGAATACCCTGCAGAGACTAGAAAGCCTCTACATACAGAATAGTAACTCACGCCCAGGGTAAGTTTTCAGAGACCCTGACTGAACATGTTTGCATTACTTCATAAACAGTCATCTTATGGATTGATCAAGTGTTTTACCACCAKTGGTGACTTGACTGGTCATGGACAACCCAGACTGATTCTGTCGCTTCATTTAACTGGTCGTTTTGTGCTTCAATAGTTATTTCTTTAAATATGAAACAAAGAAGCTGAAGCACATTAGCAAAACCAAACAACACAAAAAAGGCTAAATGAAATGGTAACTACTTCTGTGGAGAGTAACAGAGACCACAGAAGAATGACTCTCCTCCCTTGATAAAATTAATAGATACCCATTCKGTCTTTCTGAAAATATGGGCTTTCTCCTCTAATAGCATGTGGCCATTCGATGCAGAAACACTGAGGGTGTGCCAAAACACACTAAGGAAGAAAGATGGGAATGTCCTTCTAYTGTGACAATCCATCAAAAAGAGAAGGATCAGCCTGTACTTGCAAAGGTGTTGAGCTCCTGAAGAAATGTACTACTAAAACCACTCAGACAACAAATCAAATCCAACAAGCTCCTTTTAACTGCCTCTGTGCAGGGCTACTGAAGGCACAGTCATTCAGCATATCCTTTCAACAGTCAGTGTAAGCTCAATACAAAGTTTATAGTTTTTATACATCTTACTGTACTTYTACCAAGGTTTTCTGTAAGATATTGACCCCATTGTAAAAAAAAAATTTGTGCACACAGACAASTCTGTTTTCAAACAAACTCTACAAACAAAACTTCATTCCATTACTGTTAATATGATGACGAAGTTCCATCGGAACTAAACACCAGCTTTGCCCTCCYTCTTCACAATCCTAAAATTATTCATCCATGCTTAAAAGTTAAAATTAGAAAGCTAGCACATTTCTAACTTAATAATTAAATTAATTTTTTTCACCCATTATTTCCATAGCTCATACTTTCATTTTTTAAGCAAAAATATTTCCTGCAGATTCAAAGTTACCTTAYCTAGACTTTGCAGTGTTAGAATAGAGTAATCCGAAACTCATTTAGTGATTTCTGCGAAGATGAAAACCATTATGTGCTAAATGGGATTTCAATAYAATCCATATATAATAAAGCAGCAAGGCAATTAAGCTTCTGAAGAAGACATTGATCCATCCAGCCCAGCTTCATCCAAGGCTACATATGCAGACATTACCAAAACAACCCCCMCAAAAGAAAAACCAAAACAAAAAACCCAAACCAAAACAAACAAAAAACAAACAAAAAAAAAACCAAAAACCCAGGCGTCCCCCCAATGCACCAACCCTCTGAAACTGAAAATGTTTATAACTGTAACATCAGATTCTGAAACTTTCAAAGCAAATAGAATAAACAAAGGTAAGCAATTACWCTTTTTTCAGTTAACAGCTTTTTGTTAATAACCATAAAATCCAGCTACAGCTGCAAAACTGAAGTTCTGCTGTAAACAGTGTTTAAAGCTGCCTTCTGCTCTTAGCAATGGTCATCCAGCTGATCTCAAGCATTCAGAATCTGTTTTTTGGGGGCAGAGGGGGGTACTTGTTGGTTGGTTGGTTAGATGGTTTTTGTAAAATYACCTCCTATTGCACAACTATCAGAAGAGTGCCAAACATTTGCAAGATATTAAAATAATTAGGTAACAAACATTAATCCCAGAAGAATCAAAAGCCATTTCAGTACAAGCCAACAAGTTAAAACTCTTAKGCTTTCTTAGTACTTTTCTCTAGCTGGATGCTGCAAAATTTCAATATGCACATATAAAAACATGGCTTAGATATACTGCTTTAGCGTTTCATATCCCRTAGTTCAGTATCTTCTGGATTACAACCACCAATGGTACATGCTTAATTATGCTTGATTGTTTTGATATCATCCTATTTAAAGCCTTGAAATTAACCAATATCTCAGGTGAGAGCCTGAAAATTAATCAGAATCTCRGGACATGCTCCGCCTCTCCATCTGTGCCTGTACTTCCCTGCTATTATTTGAAGAGGTTTATTACAGTTTGATGCATAACAAAGCATTTCCACAGCTGGGACACCATGTTATTTCATTAGGAATGTAAATATCTCTTTTCCCCATGCAATATGAACTGAACAAACACACACACAAAATGCCTGCCTTTGCTGCAAGTATACAGATCTCCTTTTCCTTAACAGCACTGGAGCTGGAAAAAAAAGAAATCTAACAAACTGCTGCCTGTGGTAGGCAAMGAAATGATTGACCAAGCTTCAGGCCTGCAAATAAAAGAGAAAGGATATGAATTTTCAAAGATAGAACTTAGTAGAAGCTGCAAAATTGGARGTTTTGGTCCCATTACATTGAAAACAAGCTAGTTTTTAAAAAGAAGCTTATGCTAGTAATAGGTTATAGATCACAGGAAAGTCTAGTTCTACAACAGAAGGAAGGAGATGATTTTACGGTACTGGCTTTTGTGTTTTCAGCTCTTTACACACATGCCTGGGCATTTACTGCAATGTTTAGCCTGCTGTAAAAGACATCATAATATGCAGAAGTCAGCCTACAATCTTCACTAGGGCTGCAAGAAAGGAAAAAAAAAATTGCTGGCCACAAGGATGAGCAAAGGGAAGTCCAAGGAAGCAGGGCAAGAAGGAACAGGAAAACCAAGCAAMTGGCCTGTATGAAACAAAAAAGCCCCATCCAAACACAGAAGCAAGACAAAGAGTATGCACAGAATGGCAAGGTGAAGTTTAGCATAAGAGGAGCTGTAACTTTTTTGTCTTTAATTTGTTAAATTTTTTTTAATTAAAAAAAGATGCAATTACCCAAACACTAGGGYTCTAAACAACAACAAAACCCCAACTGCTATACTTTTAACAGGTACGCTGTGAATCCATAAACCAGGAGTTGTCTGTAAGACTGTGGTGGTACATACTATAAACATACCCCAATCTGACTGGACAAGTCTCCTGCACAAGCCATTGTCATAAAACAGATKGTAAGCGAAATTGAGTAACTACACAAACCAAGAAAGGCATTCCATATATACAACTCATTAACCAGGCTAGCTCATGAAGTAAAGTCATGTCGAAGATCATTTCTTAAATATTCCTTCACTACTTTCACACACATATAAAGATGTAAAGGAAGCAGTAATTTATAACACCATGTTCTCTGATAAAGGCCACATCAGCTCTGCCTTGAAGGCAAAACTCCCTTCTGAAGCAAAATATTAGCAACCTTCAACAATGAACCCACCATCTCCTTGAAGAACTTTAAACCATCACCCAGGTTCCGGGCTTTACTTCCATTTCCTGCTGAATTCCAAAGTCCATACTCAGAGACATCCAGGAGTTTTCAACACTATCTTTCAAGCAACACTCTGAAACACTGACTTTGAAGTACACAGAATACAAATGTGGGACAWAACTTAGGGAATGTGGAAAAGCCGATCAGAAATTAGCAGCTTAYGTCATGGTAATATCTCTCCATCCCTAGGAAAGGCTAAAAGCATTAAYATTACCATTTCCTGAGTAAGGTCTTTAAACTGTAAATACACAGGGAGTTTACACTGCAGAAAAACATCACAGAACAGATCAGAAAGTGTGCTCTGAGGAAACAGTACACACTTTAAGTGAACATCATAAGTTTTTAGACATCAGAACAAATTCCATGRAGACTGTAAACAAACGGCAAGAGAAGCAGTCTTAGCATACTGGTTGGAAAGTATAYATTTTCCAAGTTTTTATTTTAAAACGACAACTGTCAAAATAATTATTAGACTGGGGGAAGAGGGGGGAAGGAGTGTTCAGGGAGCTGTTTAGATAAGAAATATCCCAACCCTTGAACTTTATTTTTCAAGTGACTGCCAGTTCTTACAGATTTTCAACAACTTTCTGGCTCCAAAGAGATGGCAATGGGGATTCAAGTTCACTTAGCCTTTCTGTGGGGTCATATTCTTAGGTTAGATGACAAACTTAAGAAATTCCCTCACTGTCCCAGTTCTCTAGAAGCACTTGCTAATTGTAAGCAGTAGCATATGTTTCAYTTTGAAAATGCAAGTTTCCACCACCCCGGGCAAATCACGCCTTTTTCAAGTTCAGTGTTTTTTTTAATTATGTCGTGAGAGCTCAGAAATACCACTGCCACAAAACCAGCTCCGGACCAAAACACACTGCCAATGCTTCCAGACGTAAACATTCCACTGTGGCTTAGTTCCAACTATCTATTGCAAAAGCACCAGCTCACCCTTCTCCACCAAAATCTAAGTCTAGGTGACACTCCTCAAACTCTCCGAAAACCAGTAGGAATTTAAACGAAATCACGTAAAAAGAATATTGACAAAAACGTCTTGACAAACAAAATTACACGATCCGTGAGAACAAGACGAGTATTCTCCTAAATTACCCACGACCGGCTTTTTGTGTGTTTACTTGCAAAAAYCACCTGCCCAGGGCACGACGTGACAAAAACCAGGCTGGAAGGCGTCATCTTCCAGCCCCGGCGGACGTGGAGGTGCTGCGGGCAGTATTTGCCCACTGTCCCGGGGAACTCCCAGCGCCGAGGCCCCGCCGGAGCCMCTGGCTCCGGAACCGGCGGGAGCGGATCTAGAGAGGGGCGAGAACCGCGGAGTGTCCGGCGGGGCTGCACTTCCACAACTGTTCCAACTCGCCCACAAGTTGAGCGCCGAGGGACGCGCGGCGGGTAGGAAGGAGYGGACGGGACGGCTCCGTACCAGCAAAGAGCCGCCTCCCGCTGTGGCTACCTGCTGATGAAGCCATCCCCATCGCCGTCGCACGTCTGGAAGAGGCGCCTCATCCTCTCCTCCTCGCCCGTGCTGGAAGTGTCCGTGCTGCTGCTGCCGGCGCTGCTCACCTCCGCCACAGCAGCTGCCGCCATCATGCACCCCGCTCCGGAGGAGGAGGAGGTGGGGAAGGAGGTGGAGGAGGAGGAGGTGGGGAAGGAGGAGGAGGAGGAGGTGGGGAAGGAGGAGGAGGAGGCGGCGAGGCTGTCGCTGGCACCCGGGATTCCGAGTCCCGCAGCGCCTGCTAAGTGCGAGCAGCGGTACAAAGTCGAGTGGAGCGGGGTTTCCGCCGGCCCACACGCACCGCCCGCGGAGGGAGAGCCGGGCCGCGGCCGCGCCGGCGCTCGGAGCAGAGACAGGACGGCTGAGGCTGGGAGCTCCGCGCCTGCACACGGCATCGTCCTGCTCCCTCCCGGCGCTGCCCAGGGCTGGGATCGCGGCGGGAGCCCCGGGAGCGAGCGGGCGGTGTCTCCACACTCGGGCCAAGTGCCCTCGCGGCCGRGGAGCTCCTGTGGCCACTGAGTGTGGAGTGACCCAAACTCCTCCCGAGGGTCGCTTGTTCCCCTGGGGCTGAGCAGGCCCGGCTCCCTCCGGAATGTTGCTGTGGCTCCGGCTTTGGCCGCTGTGGAAGCCAAGCCCAGACCAACGAACAAACCTCAGCGTTTTCTCTAGCCCTGCGTTTGCACTTGAGGCTGTTTAATGAGGTACTAGTCAGGTAAAAGCATTGTAAGGTGTGGAGCACTGTTCCCTCTTGACCCATCCCGTTGCTTTCCACTGATCAAATTTTACCTGCAAAGTCAACARTTCGTTTTTCTGTCCCTGAACATGTTTGTGGCCTATACCCCTCCCGGCCTGTTGGTCTCCTTTTCATTTAAAGAAAAGTAATTTTCTTTGCAGTCTTACTGGGGCCAGACGGAAAAAAAAAAAAACACCTACCTGCCTGTGTACTAGGGCTTTATTGCTACCCTTGCATATCCTTGCTACCYCTTCAATACCTACTTACGTTTTAATTGGTGCTTTTTTCTCTTCTTTCTGTGAAAAGAACTGATACACGAACAGCACCAATCTGTTTTATCTCTACTGGAAATCGATATTGTAAAACAGTCTAGAACAGCTTTTCTGTTTACATTAGCATTATGTTTCTCACTCCATCATCCTGTGATTAATTTGGGTCAACTAATTTTTCCTAACCTATTTCTGTATTTGAAGAAAAATATCTTGTTATTAAGGATATGCATTTCTTTCACACTATTGGGTATCCTTCTCCTATTATTTATGTCTTTGAAGGCATCCGGTTCATGCCACTAAACATCTTGATCATCCTTGTTGCTGACACATGAATATATAAATATTGCTGATTCATGAATATATAAATTCAGCAAAGTTACCACACTTCTCTTGTTGCACAGTCCCTTTCAAGTACAGGAACTGATGGAAACCGCTTTAATTGTTAGTATTTATGGTACCTTGATTGAGTAACTCATTACAAGGTAAGGAGTCCCTCTGGCATTGTATTACCTAAAACTACTTGCAAGTGCAAGCATGCATACACTCACTATTGTATTCTCTTAGTCTCTGCAGCTTTCCAAATTAGGTTGCTCACATTAGTTCTTGCTGGATGATCAGGGCATTGCGGAATGGAGCCAATACATTTCCTGGTTGTTTCAATGCACTGAGAGCAGAGAATATTGCAACTGAATCCTTTCAGATATTCCATCTTCTGACCTCCRGTGGTCTGACTCTTAGTCTTGGCACATTTTTTTGGTCCTTCGTAGGATATTGCTTGCTTGTGTGTGATACCAGTTGATTACTGCAGCTGTTTGTTTACTCTGAGAACTGGAGGAGATGTGAAGCCACAACACCATTTTGCTCTGCCAGATCCCACAGACAAGTTGCTCCAGCCCACACACAAGAATTCTTGCTTACATTCTCCAAATGTAGCATATACTGCTTTTTAATAAGAATGAAAATTCTTAACTGCAGGGAGTTGGACTCAATGTATTCATATGGCAATATTCTACAATTCTGTGATTCTTTTGAATCCTAAAAGTGTCTCCTGACAAGGCCACCAACATCAATGTAGCAAGATYTCATCCAAAACACAATGAGAATCTCGAAGAACAGCCACCCTCCGTCCTGATGCTATCTGCTAAACCTCACCGCTAGCCAGTTTGCAACTTTGTTTAAACTAATCTCCCACTTCTCCTCTAATCTAGATAAGGGCATTTTATCTTTTGTTTTCATCTTATCCTTCATGCTTCATGCAGTAGCTTTCTTTGTGGATCAGGAATTCATCCATTCCTTATATTTCCCCTGCTCATGAGTTGGTGGTTTACACATTGAATTTTTCCTACTATCTCTTCCATTTCTGGAGATCAGCTGCAGTTATTTTTTTTTTTTTTTGCATTTGCACCAGTCCCAAGAAAATGTGGTGCAGTGGTTTCTGACTTTCCCTGATAACAAATCACCCAGACCAGTTCCTCCTTGCTGATAGGAACAGCTGATATCCTAGCTGTCGTATGGCATGCAGGACTGCAAAACCAGCTGAGCTTGCTGGCTTGTGTCGTGATGCCCATCTAATTTTTAGAAAAGATGCATCGACRTCAGTTGGAGAGCTGCTGTTTCCCACATTCCTGTGCCTGCTGTGAATGRTGTAGCCAGTTCACTCCTGCAGCCATGTGAATTTCAGATGGCAAGAACCCACATTTAAAACACAGACTATGCTGTGCAGCAGAAAGTATAATTCTTTCTGAAGTGTCCCTGGTGTGAGTGGTGTGTGGTGCCTAGAAAGTTGCAAAGAGAGAACAAGGAAAGAGGGCAAGGACTGAAATTTCCATGCTGCTGTGAGTAGGAAAATAGGCTTGGTATTTTTCAAAAGAAATTTTTTTAAAACCTTGTATTTTCTGTGTAAGACTCTGGATTTCAACTGTCAATCCATTTGTTTGTATTTGTCTTTTCATCTAAGTGAAATGAATCTGTAATTTTTCAGTATTAGACTGTATTCTACAATACTATTTTCTATAATGTCCTGATTTCCAAATGCAAGTAATTATATACCAGACCGTCAATTCAAACATTAATGACAATGTTGCAGCAACAGTAGCTGCACTTATTCTCCAACATTTATATGCCCAAAATCTGACATCTCTGAAAGATGGGCAGGAGACACCTGATTTCTAGAAATGCTTGACTTTTAAGACTTTCCACCAAATCAACAGTCTTCTGTTAATTTTATGTGAGCTATGAAAGTCAAGTCTACCTCAAATTAGGTGTTGAACAATAGAAAAAGAAAAGCATTGTAAAGGTCTCAAAATTTAACTATAGACGGTTTTACAGTAGAAAGTATCTTAAGTCACTCTGCATAAAAAGCTGCCAAATGACCAAAATCAATTGACAAAAAAAAGAACAATTTCCTTCCAGATATCACTAAGCCATTAGCACTTTTCAATTAACCTCTTTCAAAACCCACCAACAAAACAAACAGTAACTTAATTTTCAAACAGGAAGTTTTAATTTAGTAATGTTCCTTTGAGCAACTGCCAACCATCCCTTTCAATTTGCTAAATACTGCTTCCAGCCCTTTTCACTCTTGCAGAAATGTTCCGTGTTGTTCCATGAGGTTCTTGGTTAACAGACATTTCACTGTTACCTGAGTAACACTGTCACCCAACATAGATTGGTTCTCTTAGGGATATTGGCAGAGTGATAATAGCACTAAATCATAGTTACAATTAAAGCTTTGTTTTCTTAACAGGATGTTATGATTGGTATGGAAGAGAATTTATTATTAGAATGGCACAGCATTTCTACAAGCAGAGCCATCATAGTACAATCCATAAGTAGCATAGCAGGGAATTCATAATACAATTTAACTTATAATTTTTAATCRCCTGGACTCTCTGCAGATCAGATCAGATGGTGATCTGTGGTTTGTTGTRTCACTGTTACCGTCAAAATCTCCGGGRGTCTGGGGAGCCACAGGTTCCAGAGGCTGCTTGGGAAGGCATGGCAGGGCCTGACAGCCAGGAAWAATCCAGCTATCTCAGCCAGGTTAGCCCAGGTTATCAGACACCTCCCTGGGGACAACAAAGGCCAGGTACATGGAACCAGGGTGGAGCTGGCTTTGCTACCAGGCACGCTTATATCATATGACTTTGCACATGTTCACCAAGCTACTCAGATGTGGATGATATGCCCAGATCTAAATCTATGCCTAGCCTATATAATCCATGCCCAAGAAATATAAGGGCTAAGTAAAAGTCATATCCTATGTAAACTTTTTTTTTTTTTTTTTTTTGGGGGGAAGTGGAAGAAATACTCCATTTTCTATGATGTAACTTACAAAATGCATACTTTTGGTGTTGCTCTAAGATAGATGGGAAAATTAGCTATTCTAATTGCTGCCACTGTTTAGGTATTCAAACTGAAAATTCTGACGTACACCATGATGAAAAGCAATGCCTGGTGCTGTCAAAGGAGAGATTATCCTTTATTTCAGTTGGCTTCAGATAAAGACCATCTTTGTTTACTRATCTTCACTGTAACAAAATTTAAAGTAACAAACATATAATGTAAGCTCAGATGAATCTTATTTAAAACATCATTGTGTACAGCAAACTGCATCTGCTGCTAACAGAGCCGTGGTTTAGCTAGGAAATTGCTAGTTAAATTCTCAACGAAATCTTGTSTCTGAAGTCATTGTAGTACCTTTTTTACATAACTTTGTTTAGATCCAATTCACACCACAGACTTTTGATTTCAAGCTCCATCTTGAAATATAAGTCTTGTGAAACTTTACTGTGGAATTCTTAGCAAGCAGAGCTGTTCAAAAACTCTTTAAAACAGTATATTCAAAAGCGGGGTTTTTTGATTTTTTTTTTTGTTTTGGTTTTGGTTTTTTGGGGGKTTTTTTTGAGGCAAATTTTTCTGCTTTTTCTCCTTCTCCCAAGAGTGATCTGCAAAATTGAGATATTTTATTTAGGATTGAAAACACTTCAGGCAGAATATTAATTTTTTTAGATAGAATATTAATGYCTCTTCTGAGAAGCTTCCTACTCATTCTTCACCTTTATAAAAGCTCAACTACCTTGTAAAAATGTTGTTTTAAAAACTGTACTTTTTTGTGATGATGATGCATATAAATGAGACCAGGTTTGACCCTTTTTCCAAAAATATAATAAAATGCTCTCGTATTCAAACAGGCTGCTATTCCTGGATCCTACAAATGGATCCATAATTTGAATCTGCATACATGACAGAAAATTAGAAGTTTATTTCCTCATATCTTTTCTATACATTAAAAGAAAGATATTGACTATTTCCACTATTTTTTATCCAAGTATATTCTTTGAAGCTGTATCTCTGTTAACAAAATACTACTTTGATCAAAAATAGTGGG